ATCATCATCATCATCATCATCATCATCATCATCATCGTTATCATCATCATCATCAGCACCATCATCGTACTCCGCATCCGCATTCTCATCATCTTCATCCTCCTCAATCTTATCCTCATCCTACTCCGCATCCTCATCCTCCTCATCCTTCTCTCCTCCTCTTCCTACTCCTCCCCCTCCTTCTCCTCCTCCTCCTCCCTCCCCCTCCTCCTCCTCATCCTCATCATCGAGGGTGCGCCGCTGGATAACCCCAACGGGGAGGGGGTTTAGGACCCCCCCCACCCCCCTTTCCTCGATCCGGCGTCGGGGAACACCCCCCCCTCCTCCCCTTCCCCGATCCGTCGTCGGGGACCCCCCCCCCTTTCGTCGATCCGTCGTCGCGGACCCCCCCCCCCTTCCCCCCTTTCAAAAGGGGGGGGGGTCCGACCCCCCCCCCTCCCCCTCCCCCCATTTGGCCGCGAACCCACCCCCCCTCCCCCCCTTTCGCCACGCCGCCCCTGACTCCAGAACCCGACCCCCGCCACCCCTACCCCTAGTCCTCACCCTGACCCAGACCCCTAATCCTAACCCCAACCACTACCCCCAGCCCCAAAGAGTAGTCATTACTCATTACTCACTAGCCAATACTGACTACTCGCCATTCGCTACTCACTTCTCACTTCCCCTACTCACTACTCACGACTCACTACTCACTATCCACTACTCTCTACCCACCACCCACTACTCGCTACTCACTACTCCCTACGCACTACTTCCTCCTCCCCACTAACTACTCACTCCTCACTACCCCAATACTCACTACCCACTAAGCACTACTCACTACTCCCTACTCACTACTGACGAGTCACTACTCATTACTCACTACCCACTATCTACTACTCACTACTCACTACTCATTGCCCACAAAGCACTACTCATTACCCACGACTCGCTACACGTTGCTCCCTACTCCTTGCACAGTACTGACTACACAGTACTCGGTACTCACTACTCGCTACTGCCATACTCGCTACGCAATACTCACTACTCACTTCCCACTACTCACTATTCCCTACTCACTTCCCACTACTCACTCGTTACCCACTAATCACTACCCACTACTCACTACTGACTACTCTCTACTCACTATTCACTACGCCCTACTCGCTGCTCACTTCTCAGTTTTCGCTACTCCCTACTCGCTACTCACTACTCACTACCCACTGCCACTACCCACTACTTTCTATTCAGCACTACTCACAAACTACGCACTACGGACTACGTGCTACTCAAAACCCACTACTCACGACTCACTACTCACTACCCACTACTCGCTACTCTCTACTCACTACTCACTACTCACTACTCACTATCTACTCACTACTCACTACGCACGACGCACTACCCGCTACTCACTACTCAGGAATCACTACTCGCCACCCACTACTCACTACCAGCTACTCACTACCCACTACTCATTACTCCCTACTCCCTAGTCATTACTCACTACTCGCTACTCGCTACTCACTACTCACTACTCATTACTCGCCACTAACTACTCACTTATCAGTACAAACTACTCACTATTCACGCATTACTCCCCACTCTCTACTCCCTACTCCCTACTCGCCACTCACTATCCACGACTCACTACCCAATACTCACTACTCACTACGCAGTAACTCACTACGCACTACTCACCACTCCCTACTCCCAACTCCGTACTCCCTACACACATTCTCCGGCGCAGAAGGGAGAAGCGAGAGAGGCCCCCCCCTCCCCGGCTTCCTTTCCGGCGCAAGCGGTGGGAGGGGGGGGGGCGACCCCCGCTCTTTTTCCAGCGCCAAGGGGGAAGGGGGGGGGTCCGGACCCTCCCCCCCCCCCTAAGGGGGGGGGGGGTTCGGACCCCCCCCCCTTTAAGGGGGGAGGGGGGGGGGGTTCTGGACACCCCCCCCACTTGAAGGGGGGGAGGGGGGGGGGTGCACCCCCTCCTTTAGTGTATTCAGGGAGATCTACTGGCGCACTTTCCTCATCATCAGCATCATCACGACCTCTTGCTCCTCGGTTGAACGGGCCCAGGGACGTACAACTAAATAGACACTAGTCCCGGGATTTCCCATATTCCCAATATTTTCTGGACAGTTTCGCTCCCCCTCCATTACCAATGCTTGTCCATATTCCTGGGAGTCGACGAATAGTAGTGTCTATGTATGTTTTCCCCACTCCTGATCTGAAGGTCACGTCAACTTCGCGCATCGCGCCCCGCGACGCGTGGCTTGTCTGTGCACCATTGCGGCGCCGCTGCGGGGAAGGGCGCATCTCCAACCCAGGCCGTGATGCGCGAAGCGAGATCAGCGGGTTTTGGATGATACATTAAAAGGAATCAAACAATTTTCGAAACACATTACAAAATAAAAGCGCTCAAAACATCGTCCCCAGAGTATGCGTCTTTGACTATTCTTGAATATCCCTCCTGTACAGAGGAAAGGGCCGACTCAAGCCCAACCCTGGGATACAGGATGGGGGGGCACCCATCCTGGATAAGGGGTGCATCCGAATAGCCCCCTCGAGGGTGCAACCCCGGAAATTCCCCTCTCGTTCGCAGCGGCCGAACTTTCCGGGCTGGGCTCGCGGGGGCTTCTGGGGAGAAGCACGGGACCCCTAGCGCACGCCTTTTGCCGTAGGTGTCTCGAGCGGGGCCGAGGAAGGAGGAGGGCCACAAAAAATCGCGAATCTGGGCGAAACGCGCTCTGCATGGCAAAACACCCATAATGATCATAACGGGCAGAAAATCTACCCCATAATGATCATCCCGACACGCCAAGCCGTTTAGCAAACGCACCCAAACAAAAATGATCGAACAAAGCAAGGCTGTTTAGTAGACGCCAAAGCCCGTTTAGTAAACGCCAATGGCCGGGTCCGGGTGTTTTTCCCTCCCTTGATGCTGTCGCCGCGTGCAGTGTCTGCACTACACTACTGGAAGGAGCACGATCCACGACTCGCAGAGGAGCTACTCGCAAAGGGCCTGGATCCGCCGCGATAGATCTACGATATATCACATCGGGTCAAACGGATGTGTGTTTCTCCCCGACGTTTGCGAGCTGGTATGTTTGCAGGTGCTGGAAGGACCTCGGCGATGCACAGTCAGCCCGTGTGAAAAGGACGCGCGATAAGCATGCCGGGGCCTTGGAAGGTCATGTCGACGCTGTGCGAGCGGGGCGCGGCCAGCGAAAGAGGCCAAGGATGGGTCGACGGGTAAGGACGCGAAGGGCAACCTCGGAAAGTTGCTCATCCTTACTGTGCGGGTTGACTGCACTCAGCGGCTCGCACCTGCGCCAGGAAGGACTGGGCTTGGCTGTTACTGGCGTGAGGAGGGGACGTGTGGGGTCCTGGTGGACACGTAGACTGGAACCTGGGGCTTTCCCTTGCCCTTGCCACCCGGGCGTTTCGTACTGACCAGGCCGAACCTGGCCCCAGGATCGGATGACGTCGAGGCTAAGCCAGGAAGTATGCGTTCGTGGGCCCAAGAGCGGCCTGGTCAAGATCTTGTGCAGGCGTCGCCTCCGCATCGATCGAGGGACCGATGCGAGTCTTCGCCCCGTCGGGTTCCAGGATCCGGTTTCTCCAGGCTGTAGGAGGCCAAAAACCGTGGATTGAGCAGAGACCGGAAGGCAGAACACCACGGATTGAGCAGGGACCGACCGAACAAACTGAAAGGCTCTTAGAACCCAAACATATATAAGAACAACAACCATGCTCTTAGAACATAAGCCTGATGCGTTAGAACACGGCATTCTAAGCCAAGAACCTGAGACAATTTCGTGCAGACCACAAAAGGCTCTTGGAGCGTTCTTCGGTTGGCCTATAGGCGGGCCAAGACGCTTCGCCACTGCTCGAGTGGAACAACTCAAAGACCTGCTTGCCTCCCGGGCCCCTCTCCTTCACGCTGGGGCGTGGCCGTCGCCGTCGCCGTTGCGGGGCTGCCGTCTGTGGAGGCCTGGCCAGATCGGCTGCCTTCACCGTCGCTGGCCGTGGTGCCGTCGCCGGCTGTGGGGGGCGAGCCGTCACCGTGGCCGATTTGTTTTCCCCCCCCCCCCGGGCGGGTAGCAAGCCTTAGGTTACACCCACCATCAGGCACGGCCGACAGCTGCGCCCCACGAGTCGCATCGCACGTCTCGGAGGCGCCCCCATGGGCTGCACCGCGACATCTTATTGCTTCCCAGCATATTGGGCCCACTCGCTGCAGCAGCACAGAGGCTGTACAGTGAGGGTCTTGACCGAAGGAACCCTAAATAAGGAACGAGGCCCCTTTTTTTCCATAAGTTAAACTTCGGTTTCCTATCGAAAACATACGGAAAACCTGAGGCAAGCTGTGAAACACTTAAGGAACGCGGAGCCCCTCCCCAACCAAAAGGGTTCCTTCTTCAGGGCCCCGACTGTGTGCTCCACCGTCTGTGGCACAGGCCTTGCATTCAACTTGCATCCCGTGAACTGTACCGTACAGGTTGCACCTCGGATCTCGGCTCCTGCACCCATATGGCTTGCTGCTCGAAGCCCGATGTTTGCGTTGCACCCCATACCATTAGCTGCACCCCATGCATGCCAGTCCTGAGGCTGCTCTCCGGAAACGTCAGGTCAGCTGACTGCTCGCAGTTCACGCGCCAGTGTGAGTCAGTGTCACGGCCGCATCGAGCTCAGCAGGCATCCAACCTGTTCAGCTCCAGATTTATGTTGCCCACGTCGTACTCAAGGACCACGTCCCAAACACAGCTTCCAGCAGTCAGAAAAATATTAGAGCAGCGTCGAGCAAATGTCGCCTCCAAGGGCCCGACACGTGAACCCTTCCGTTTCGGTACTTCCTTGGAGCTTCCAGTTTGTTTTGGCGATCCAGGCTGACCCCAGCTGGAGCACCAGCACTCCAGGCAGAGAGGCCGGCCCTCGGCCTCCCCGAGTGCAGGGGCAGGCCAGCACTCTTCGCCGCGCCCCACCTCCGAGCGCCCCACCTCCGAGGGCGCGAGGGCGGAGCCGCGCGGCAGCGCCCCTGGATAGATGCGCTCGAAGAGGTTGAGATCCACTCTGAACAGCTCGTAGACCTCGCGAGGAGCCGAGGAGGAGGAGGAGGAGGAGGAGGAGGAGGAGGAGAAGGAGCAGGAGCAGGAGGGAGGAGGAGGATGGGGAGAAGGAGGAGGGAGGAGGAGGAGATGGTGAGGGCGAGAGGAGGGGGGAAATCACTTGTTCGAATCGTTCTGGAGGTATTGCAGGTTTTTCGCGGGCGCGATGGTGAGGGCGAGAGGAGGGGGGAAATCACTTGTTCGAATCGTTCTGGAGGTATTGCAGGTTGTTCGCGCGCGCGTTTGTGTGTGTGTGTGTGTGTGTGTGTTTGCGTGTGCGCTGCGCTCGGGGAGGCTCACATCATTTATGAATGGGTCGCAGACCTGGCGGCAGAGGGAGGATGGGGCTCAGCGTGAACCAGGTGCTCTCCACGAGGTTAGGAGCCGGAAAAAAAAAAACACACACACACACAAGGAATTCCACACAAAGGGTTTTGGCACCACCAACGGTGCAGCGCATGTGCACACCTGCGACTGGATCCCCAGCGATCCGGACCAGGGTTCACGCACGGCCGCGCTCCAGGATGCAGTTGACATGCATGGTGTGGCGAGGCTGTCGGCGGCGGCAGGATCCCAAAATCCGCGGAGCCCCTGCGGCCGCCCCGGGCCCGTGCCCGTGGGCATCGCGAGCGTGCGCTGCTCGCGTCGGGTGCACCCCGTGGCGCCCGCGCTGGCAGCCGTGCCAGCTCGCGGGCCCCGCGCGTCGCTCAGTCGTGATGTGCTCGCGCCGTGGAGCCCGGGAGAACTCGGCCCTTGCCCAGGGCCACTGACAGGGGATGTTGAAGGGGCCCTGGGACACACAAATAAATACACACAAATAAAAAGATTCCCCATATTTTTCCATATTTTCTGGGTTTTTGTCTTCCCCACCACTTCCCATATTTTCCCATATTTTCTGGGGAGTCGACGATTAATTGTGTCTGTGTGTTTTTTCCCCTCCTGAGATGTGTCGACCCCTGTCCCAGGCTTCGTGGGGTCTTCGAGTGGACCAAAAATGCGGGGGCCAACCCTGGGATATGCGGGAGGAGCGTCCATCCTCGACAGGGGTGCGTCCGAATGGCCCCTGGGGTTGTATCCCAGGGTTTCCCTCCTTCTATTAATTAGCCGCTTCATCTTTTGCGTCGACAAGCCGGGGGTTGGGATAGAAACATCGCCTCCGAGCCATCTCTTCTGTCTGAACGGTCTGCTGACAGTCTCGAGGCCCTCCCCGGGCCTCGAGCGGTCGAAGCCTGTCGGAGACCTGTCGACGCCCAGCCAGCGATTCTGGCAGGAATCCCGTGCGATGGAGGCAGACAGCCAACTTTCCGGAAGGACGAGGGAAGAGAACAGGAGCAGCAGCAGCAGCAGCAGGGGAAGGGAGAGGAGGAGAAGGAGGAAGAGGAGCAGGAGGAGGAGTGCTGGTTACATGTTCCTTATGGCTCTGTGGTAAAGAGAGAGAGAGTGAGAGAGAAAAAAAAAAGAGAGCACGATGCATCATGCTGCTGATCATGGTGACGCCGATGACGCCGATGATGATGATGCTGATGGTGATGGTGGTAATGATGCTGGTGATGACGATGATACTGAATCTGGTGATGAGGACGATGCACATAACCACAAGGCATGGGCAACCAGGCAGTCGCACGAGCAGAGGGGAGAGAGTGAGAGAGAGAGAAAGAGAGAGAAAGAGAGGGAGAGAGCCAGAGACAAAAAACAACAAACAAGAGAGAGAGAGAGAGAGAGACAGAGAGCCATATCTAACACAGCACGAGAGACAGCGATGGAGAGAGAGCGAGAGAGAGAACGAGAGAAACAACAACCAAACATATATATATATATATATATATATATATATATATATACATGTCGAGAGAGAGACCGAGAAATAAATATAGAGAAACACATAACGAGAGAGAGACAGAGGAGTAGGATCAGGAGAAGGAGGAGGAAGAGGAGGAGATGGAGGAGGGGGAGGAGGAGGAGGGGAACGAGGAGGAGGCGGAGGAGGAGGGGGAGGGAGGAGGCTGTGGGCAGCGCCTTCTTGGTCTGCTCCCACTCGATCACGCCCTCCTCGCGCGCGGGGAGGAGCCGGTCGGGGCCGCGGCGCGATCTGTCGTCGTGGCCGCCGCAACTATCGTTCGTCGTCGTCGCCGTGGTTGTCAAGTTCATGCTGGTCTTGGGTCGGGCATGTCTCCCCACAAGCTGATCTAGAAAATCGTCCCCCGACTATTTTTAACTATTTTTGAATACTCCTTCAGAGGGACAGGCCCGACTCAATGCTAGTCCTCCTCGACATCCTCCTGGGAAGGACGGGGATGGACGGATGGCGGGGGGATGGGGGGACGTTTTCTGTTTGTTCGCGCCTGCGACAATGTCTGGCCCCGTCTGGGGCCCGCGGAAGCTTCCCAGGGCTCCCCGAGGCCTCCCTCTGTGTATGGGGGGGGGGGCAGGGACAAGGAGCGGCAACACCACCACCACCACCACCAATGCGACGCGCTGGGCTGGGCGTCCCGGTGGCGTGGCCCTCCTCCCCCCTCTCTGAAGGGGCCCTGGGACACACGAATAAGTGGACACAAAGCCCAGGACCCCCCATATTTTCCCATATGTTCTGGATGTTCGTCACCCCTCCCCCCCACCCTCCCATAGTTTCCCATATATGATCGCGGGCTCTGGGCCCACGGGCCCCCCCCCAGATGGGATGGGTCCCAGGGTCCTCGGGCCCCCCCCCATCCCATAGGAGAAGGAGGAGGAGGAGGAGGAGACGGAGGAGGAGGAGGAGGACGACGACGACGACGACGACGGCGACGACGACGACGGACGACGGACGGAGGACGACGGACGACGGCGGACGACGACGACGGACGACGACGACGGCGACGATGACGACGACGACGACAACGCCGACGACGACGACGACGACGACGTCGACGGCACCGGCGGCGGCGGCGACGACGTCGAGCACCGGGGAGCTTTCCGAAAGCACGTGAGCACGACGCCACAGTCACAGCCCCCACTCGCTCGCCGGCCACCTCCACGATGGAAGAACAAACAACTGCAGAAATATCAACTACACCCTAGGCGATGCTTAAGAAAACCTAAGTTTTCGGCCAGGGTCTCGATTATTCTTAACGTTTCAATGTAAATCCTAAGATTGTGATAGAAAGTTGGGTTTAAATTCCAGTTCTGAGACCATGAATTTCTTAACCCATGATTTCTTAAGCATCTCGCGGGGTGTATGGGAGGTCCGCGCGGATTTCTTGGATCCGCGCTGGCCCCCCCTTCCTGACGCGCGGAGCGCGGATCCAAGAAATCCGCGCGGACCGCCGAAAGTGTATGCTTATGCCGCTCTTATGTTCTTCGACAACAGCAACGCCAAACGAAAATCAAAAACATAGTCTGGGGACTATTTTTTGAATCTCTTTTTTACCTTTTGCTTTTTTGTTGCTTCTTTTTTAACGTCGAAAATCCCCGACATAATGGTAGGCCTATAGGCACGCAGGGACGCTCCGCCACTGCGTGAGGCAGGGGGCCCGCAGGGTCGGCCGGCGGCTGGCGAGAGGGGCGCGCCCGCGCGACCTCTCCGGGGGCCGCATCCTGCAAGCCGAGGGCGAAGAGGCAACCCCGCGAAGGGGGCGCCTTTTCGGCGTCGGCCTGCAGGAGGAGGAGCAGGAGGAGGGGGGCGAGGAGGAGGGCGAGGAGGTGGAGGAGGAGGAACGAGGAGCGAGAAGGAGGAGGGCGAGGAGGAGGAGGAGGAGGGCGAGGAGGAGGGCGAGGAGGAGGAGGAGGAGGGCGAGTAGGAGGGCGAGGAGGAGGAGGAGGAGGAACGAGGAGCGAGAAGGAGGAGGAACGAGGAACTCCGGGGGCTTCGGGTTTGGCGACTGGGTCGGCCGGGGAACTACTTCGGGGACAAAACTCTCTTGGCCTTCTCAGCTGTGCTAGCAGCTTTAGGCCAGAGACCCCGCGACACTCGAAGCTCTTTGGCGGCATAACACCAGGAGAGAGGAGGACGAGGAGGAGGAGGAGGAGGAGGAGGAGGAGGAGGAGGAGGAGAAGGAGAAGGAGGGCAGCAACACGTGCGGAGAGGGGGAGAGAGGAACTAGGGGGAGGAGGGGAACGACGGGATGACGACGACGACGAAGACGACGACGAGGACGAGGAGGAGGAGAAGGGGGGAGGACGAGGAGGAGGAGGAGGAGGCGCGGAGGAGGAGGAGGGGGTGGAGGGGGAGCAGAAGGCGGAGGAGGAGGAGGGGGCGGAGGGGGAGAAGGAGGAGAAGGAGCGAGGCGGAGGCGGAGGAGGAGGACGAGGAGGAGGAGGAGGAGGAGGAGGAGGAGGAGGAGGGGGAGGAGGAGGAGGAGGAGGAGGAGGAAGAGGAGGAGGAGGAGGAGGAGGAGCGCCCCCGAGTCGTCGACGCGGAGGCCGTGCGCTCGGTCCGAGTCCCCAGGGCCCGCCCTCCAGAGGGGCGGGCGCGCCGCCTGCACGAACTGGTCCCCCCGCCGCCGGCGCGTGTGCTTCTCGAGGTGCTCCATGACCGCTGCCACCTCGCCGCCGCCGGCCGCGGGATGTCCCCCCTCTTCTAGGGGGAAAACAAGCCTACCTCGCTTTTGACCGCCCACGCTTCCAAGAGGTACCAAACGATGCCAAACTGCGGCCTGTACTGGTCAGGCCGCTTGACGAGGAGGCGCGTGGTATGACTTGGTTTTGCCTGGAAGCGAAAGCGGGGTAGGTAATTCACGCTCCGATTTTCTCCCCTCCTCGTCGTCGTCGTCCCCCCCTCCTCCTCCTCCCTCCCCGCGTGACCCGGCTACTGCTTTCTGGTCGGGCGTGCTGCTGTTTCTTTCTACCCACGCGTGCTGCCGGAAACCCGTCTCAGTGACGACAGTGGTGCCTAAGCGCCGTGCCAAGGCTTGACCTCTGGCTTCGCACTTCTCGTGCTTTCTAGATGGGGTCCGAATATGTGAAGTCAGAGGATTGCGCCGCATCGCCGATGCATCGGCGATGCATCGGCATTGTGTCGGCGATGCACGGGCGATGCAACGTCGATATCGGCGATGCATCGGCAACGTCGACGTGAAAGAAATCGGGCTCCACATCGAGCCGCATCGCCGATGCATCGCTGATGCATTGGCGATGCGGCGCAATCCTCCGACCCCATCTACTCCGACCCCATCTAGGAGGCTTAGACCCAACCATCCTGTTGTGCTGGGTCCTCGTCTTGAAGCGACTGCGCCCCACGTTCCTCACCTCATCCTCATCCTCCTCCTCCTTCTCCTCCTCCTCCTTCTCCCTCTCCTCCCATCCCCGTGCCCCTTGTCGGCACACCCCTCACACTTTTCGTGGCCCCACAGGGAGCTCATCTCGCTGCCGCCGGCCGCGGGATTGGGCGGCGAGCGACGGGGGGGAATGAGAAGGAGAAGGTCTTCTCAGAAGGCGGCGGGGCTTCTCAGAAGCTCCCCGGCCTTCCGAAAAATCTCTGGTGCCTTCGGGGAAGGCTTAGACAACTGTTCAAAAGGCCGGGGACCTCCGAACCTTGGATTAGGTCGGGCACGTCCCCTTACAGGCATATTTTGGAGGAGAAATGAGACAGACTCAATACATGTTCAACACATACTTTAACAAACTAAAGCACTCATCCCAGACTATGCTTGAACTAGTTTTGAAGATTCCTACTGTAGAGGGACGTGCCCCGTATATAAAACCGTGGGAAAAGCCTTCTCTTTGTCACTTCCCCTCCCGGTCGCGCCGCAGGGGGGTGGGTGGAACACGCACCCATACTGGTACCATTTGCGTCGACGTCTCGCCTTCTTCCCAACCCCTCCCCTTGGTTGGAGAGAAAAACGTGCCCACCCCGCTGCCCCTGCGTCGTGTTCTCGCTCTCTTGTTTCCCAGCCCTCTCCCCTGGTTGGGTTCTCGTCTTGCACAGGAGCAGTGGGAGGAGGAGGAGGAGGAGGAGGAGGAGGAGGAGGAGGAGGAGGAGGAGGAGGAGGAGTGCCGCCCCACTTTTCGTCTTCCTCCCGACCCCCCCCCCCGCTTTCCTCTCGGCTCGCTCCGCTCGCACCCCTCCTGGGGGCTGCGAAGCGTGGGGGCCCCACGCAGGACCCCAACGGGACCGCGCCATCCCTGGGGGGCCTGCGAAGCGTGACACCGTCGCCCGTTCGCTGGCTGCTGGGGGGGGGGCGGCACAGTGGGGCCCCACGCAGACCCCAACGGGACCTCGCCATCCCTGGGGGGCTGCGAAGTGTGAAGCTGTTGCCTATTTCGAAGGCAGCGGGGGGGCAGCACAGTGGGGCCCCGAGAAGACCCCAACGGGACCTCGCCATCCCTGGGGGGGACTGCGGAGGCTGCTGAGGGGGTCCAGCACGGTGGGCTTCCACGTAGACCCAAAACACCTGGTAACCCGATTGGACTCACGTTCCGACGCGATCCCTCCGCCCCTTCCCCCCCTCCCCCCCCGGCCGAGATCGCTGTTCCCGTCGTCGCAGCCGTTCGTCCTCGTCCTTCCACGCCTCCCCCGCTGCTCGCCTCCCAGAACTCCAGGTGCCTGAGCTGTTCTCCCAGACACCCGGCGTCCACAAGACACGGGCCCCCGACCTCTCGACCTTGTTCCCCAAATCGGCTTCGCATCCCGAATCGTTTTGTGGCGGCCCCGAGGCCAGGTGAGGGCCCCCGGAGCCCGCAAAATGTGAATCCGTCTCCAGGAGAAGAAAAGCGCCATAATCAAACTGAAACTTTTGGCGCTCCGCGCATGCTTCTTGGATCTGCGCTGGACCCCCCTCCCGGGCGCGCGGAGCGCGCCAGGGTCGGCGCCGGAGGCGCCGCCAGGGGCTGCCCTACGCGGAGCGCCAACAGTTTATGTGTATGGCGTGTTTGTTATGTTTGTTATCTTCTCATGGAAAATCGAAGCGGAGGTTCTATTGATCGATGTTCGACTCTCGATGTTCGAGGTGTATGTTTATGGCATTTGTTGTTGATCCGGTTCTAGATGTTCCCGAAGCGCCAGGAGTTGAGCAGGGACCGACCGTTCCAGCATTTCTATAATCCTACCGCGAAATGTTCTTAGAACCCAAAAATGTTCCAAGAACAAATACAATGTTCTTAGAACATTGACCCGATGTGTTAAACCAAGACAGACTCCGCCAGAAATGTTCTGAGAACATTTCGGGCAGACCACAAGAGGTTCTTAGAACATTGTTCGGTGGGGCTATAGGCGAGCCAGGACGCTTCGCCACTGCTTGAAGGAGGTCTGGGCAGCACGGCGCCAACCATTCAAGAGGAACAGGCAAGAGGAGCCTGAGAAGGAGGTGGCAAGAGGAGGAGGCAAGAGGAGGAGGAAGAGGAGGAAGAGGCAAGAGGCAAGAGGAGAAGGAGGAGGAGAAGGCAAGAGGAGGAGGAAGGAGGCAAGAGGAGGAGGAAGGAGGAGAAGGAGGAGGAAGGAGGAGAAGGAGGAGGAAGGAGGAGGAGGACGTAGGAGGAGGAGGAGGAGGAGGAGGGGGAGCAGAAGGAAGGAGAACCCGCACGCGCCGATCCCGGCCAGAGGCCTTCCCTCTGTGGGAGCCCACGGTGGGCCTGCCCACCAGGCCCGCTGTGCTGGCGCGCACGGCGCCATCCCCCCCCGCTCGGGCGGGTGCTGCATGCAGCAGGGGCCCGGCCACAAGAAACCTTCCAAACAGAAACCCAGCCCTTTCCTCCTCCTCCTCCTCCTCTCCTCCTCCTCCTCCCCTCCTCCTCTCCTCCTCCTCCTCCCCTCCCCTCCCCGCCGCCTCCACGCCCCCCATTCCTCCTCCTCCTCCCTCCTCCTCCTCCCCCTCCCCCCTCCTCCTCCTCTCCTCCTCCGCCTCCTCCTCCTTCCCCCTCTCCTCCTCGCCTCCTCCTCCTCCGCCTCCTCCTCCTCTCTCCTCCTCCTCCTCCTCCTCCTCCTCCTCCTCCTCCTCTCACTCCTCCTCCTCCTCCTTCCTCCCTCCTCCTCCTCCTCCTCCTCCTCCTCCTCCTCCTCCTCCTCCTCTCCTCCTCCTCCTCCTCCTCCTCCTCCTCCTCCTCCTCCTCCTCCTCCTCCTCCGTCCTCCTCCTCCCTCATCCTCCCTCTCCTCCTCCTCCTCTCCTCCCTCCTCCTCCTCCTCCTCCTCCTCCTCCTCCTCCCTCCTCCTCCTCCTCCTCCTCCTCCTCCTCCTCTCCCCTCCTCCTCCTCCTCCTCCTCCTCCTCCTCCTCCTCCTCCTCCTTCTGCCCTGAGACCGCAGAACGTCCATGGGGTTTTTGGCGTGGGAGCGTCACGCTGTCCATGGCAAGACCGTCGAAACCCAAGAGGCCCAGGGCCACATGGAGGCAAGCAGAGTGTTTCTTGGCACAGGTCTCCACTGGAAGGTGCCGCGACGGGGACCGCGCGCGCGCCGCCCATTTTTTTTTCCCCCGGCGAGCGACGTCGCGCGCGGCCTCTCCCGGAGATTCGGAGGCAACACCTGGGAAGTCTTCGGCGGCAGAATCACAGTCGGCCCGCATCCGAAGGCTGCGCGGGAAGGAGACAAGGGCCTTGGAAGGCCATCTCGACGCTTTTCGAGCGGAGCGCGGCCAGCGAAAGCGGCCGAGGATGGACCGAGGCGGCAAGGGTGCAGGGGCACCCTCGGGAAGGATGCCCATCCTTAGAATGCGGGTTGACTGTAAACCCCATTGGGGGCTGTTACGCCGGATTTGGCCACGGATCAATCGGGATCAAGCCAGAGCAAGCGGGAGCAAGCCGGACTGAGCCAGATTTCGGACCACGGCAAGATCAGAACTTGATCTCCCAGGAATTGCATCCGAACGACGAGGACCGAACGGCAGGAGCATAACCTTTCGGAGGTCCACGCGGATCTCTTGCATCGGCGCTGGACCCCTCTACAGTCATCGGCCTGACCCGAGGAACGACCAATAAGGAACGAAGCCCCTGTTGTAAGGAAGAACGCACAGAGGAACGACGGATAATACATAACGCCCAGGGAGCGCCACGTGACGCATGCAAGCCTCAGGAACGACCGAGCCCCCCATGACGAGCGGGTGCTCCTCACTCAAGCCGCTCGCTGTACCGGCCCAGGGTTAGATGCTCATTCTGGGGACCTTCCTGGAGCCACTCGCTCCACTCGTGCGTCGAAGCTGCGTCGAACCTGAGTCGAACCTGAGTCGAACATGAGTCGAACCTGAGTCGAACCTGAGTCGAACCTGAGTCGAACCTGAGTCGAACCTGAGTCGAACTTGAGTCGAACCTAAGTCGAACAGATCCATTAGGTGGGCCCCAGGAAGGTCCCCAAAACGAGCATCGAGCTAAAACAAGGCTAGGATCGGGATAAATCGCTCCAAAGCGTTCCGGAGCGCTCTCAGAGCGTTCCGGAACGCTCTGGAGCGGCCGCGGCGCCCGATACATCCTCCAAACCCGCCGAGATTCTCAGAGATTTCGAGTTATCCCGATCCGATTTTGTCCCGATCTTCGCGTTGCCCAGGGGTCGGGAGCGGCCAAGATAGGGTGTCCAAGAGGGGGGGGTGCAAATCATGACCGGCGGCATGTGCGCGACCCAGCGAGGAGGCCAGGGACGTACTGAAACAAGAAGAGGCGCCACGAGATCTGGGGAAATATCATGGCCCCCGCCATGATATCCCCCCCCCCCCTCTTTTCCGCCCCCGACAGGGGGCTCCCTCCCCAACAAAAACAGCGAGAGGCCCGGACCCCGGGGACACGGATTGCACGCGTACACCGCCACGGTGCGGTGCCCGATGACGGGAGAACGGCCCCCCTTCGAGGGCCGGGGGCCCTCCGCCGGCCAAACTGGGAGAACACTACCCTGACCTTCCAAGAGGGCTAAAAAATAGCACGCGACCTAATACCCTATCCCAGAGCTATTCGACGTCTTGGTTTTAGGCTGTTTCGTTTCGCTTTGTAGGTGTTTAGGCCTCCAGTGCTAAAAAATAGCTCTCTGGAAGGTCAGGGACTACAGAGGGTGCCCCCCCCCCCCCCCCAGGATGCAAGCAGAGCAAACAGAGCATCCAACAGACTCGAAGCACAGGGGGGTAGCCTCCCCGACCCAACCCCGATCTCATACCTCGGTCCGGCCTCTCCTCCACGACCCCTCGTGGCGTGCGCTCTCGAGGCGCATCCAGCCGCTGCGGCGAGGGAGGGGCCGTGGACAATCCGAAACCTCTCTTGCTTCTCATAATCAGCCTCGAACTGATCCCTATCCCTGAGATGGGCAGGCAGCAAACCATGACAATCAAAGGGATAGGCCCTCAGAAACGGAGGGCATCCTCAAGATCGGTATCGAGGTAAGGTGATGCCAAACATAAGGATCGGGATATGTTTCAAACTGGTGGTCTCAGGCCCCGAGGAGTCTATGGTCTATGCCGACGCCGTTCTCTCGTCCTCGACCCGAGGAGCCTCGCCGAGCCCTAGCCTATTCGCCGAGCCGTCGAGTCGGAGGGGCAACGATAGGGTCAGGTCGGGCGTGTCCTGCTACGGGCGAATTTAGTCAACAAATACGCAGAACATGTTCAAACATACGGACGAAAACATCCCCAGACTATGGTTTAAACTGTTTTTGAACATTCCTCCTGTAGGGAGACAGGCCCGACTTAACGATAGGGAGGGAATGGCACAGGGGGGATGCATCGGCCTGGAATAGGGTAAACATCACCAGCGATAGGCCCCCAATGGTGAAACCGCACCTTCCTGGGCGGGGTGGGGCTATCAGACTCCCCTATCTGCGGGCAGTTGGCGATTTAGGGTCGATGCATTCTTCCCCCTATGGCGGGTTCGCGCGGCGTCGGAGCGCGCAAAAATTCTAGTTTCCACGTCGATCGTTCAAACTTGAAGCGATCGCAGTCCCGATCGTTCAGGGCTAAATTCGGTAAGGCCTTGAGACGCTACCGTGTCCCTCGGTGCTTCCATGTCGATCTATTACCGGAATTCAACCTTGAACGCCTTCGCCTCGACGGCGTCACCGGCGCGCCATCGCCGCATGAACCTACCGTTAGGTCGGGCATGCCCTCCTACACGCGGATTTTGGAAGAAATCAACATAGGCAAAAACATAATCGAAAAATCTGTCATTCTTAACTTATCCTCCTGTAGAGAAACATGCCCGACGTAACCCTATCTGGAGGCCTCCTAGATGGGGTCGGAGTAGATGGGATCGAAAGATCGCGCCGCATCGCCGATACATCGATGATGCATCGGGGATGCACCGGCGACGCATTGTCGACGTAGGCGATGCAATAGCGACGTCGACGTGACGCAAATCGAGCTCCACATCGAGCCGCATCGGCGGTGCGGCGCGATCCTCCGACCCCATTTACTCCGACCCCATCTAAAGGGCCTAGACTTAGGTCGGGCCTGTCCCCTTACGGGCGGATTTTGGGCGAAAACTAAGAATGCCCCAAACATAATCCAACATCAGTTTTGACTATTCTTGGACACTCCTCCTGTAGGGGGACAGGCCCGACTTAGGCCTCGACCGTCGTTGCCCCTGAGGGGCACCGCGCGCGGACGGGTGCCGCCCGGGCACCTCTCGCGGGCCACTCAGTGCGGGGGCGGCGGCCGCTGGCTGGATGCCCCGGCGACGTGGAAAAAAGAGCGGCTGGCAAACGGGCCGGGCGCCCGGCAGAGGTGGTCCGAGCGGGTGGCACGCTGCCCGTCCACCGGTGAGCCTCGATCCTCGCTCCTCCTCGATCCTCGATCCTCCTCCGCCTCGATGCTCCTCCTCCTCCTCCTCCTGTCGGTGGCGAGCAGGGGGGGGGAGTGAGAGGAGAAGGCCTTTTTCAGAATGAGGTATCGACGGCGAAGCGGCCCCCGAGTGGCCTGCCACGAGGTCCCAACGAACATCTAATAGGCTTCATACCAGACCCACAACCCGGCCACGGTGGCAGGAGGCGCCGAAGGCCACCAAATACTACGGTACGCAATACCAAGACACTTCGAATCGTGCTGGAGCCAGACAGGGGCACTGAGACAGGGATGACAAGTCGGCGAAAGCAGACCAAAACCATGACCCTGTACTCGAGCACCCCCTCCACTGATCGGCGGCGAGCGAGGGAGGGAAATGAGAAGGAGAAGGCCTTCTCGGAAGGCGGCGGGACTTCTCCGTAGCCCTCGCGCCTTCTGACAAACGTTCTTTGTCGTCGGGGAAGGCTTGGAGAAAACTTCAGAAGGCTGGGGGACTTCCGCCGAGCCTTCTGAGAAGGCCCGCCCCGTCTCTTGGCGCGCGCACAAGGGGGTGGTGGGAGGGGGGAGGGCTTCTTAGAAAGAGGCTGCTTCTTAGAAGGCGCCGGCCTTACATCCGCGCCTTCTAGGTAGCAGAGGTGCTTCTAAGAAGCCCTCCCACCTCCCCCCCCTCTGCGCGTGGCCGGGTCTCACTATCTCGGGCCTGGTGCCGATGGTAGTGAGGGTGCGCGACAAGGATGCAGGGGCCATGACCGCCTATGCCAAAGCTTTTCGAGCGGGGCCGGCCTGCGAAAGTGATCGAGGCTGGCGGCCACATTGAAGCGGACTGTGCAGGATCAAGCGGGATTGGGCCCTGAGGCCAGACCATCGACCAAGGATCTACCGCGGCCGGTGATTCATGCAACCTCCCTGGAGCTTCAAACCGGCCCTGGAGCTCCCAGATGGCCCTAGACCAGGATTTGAAGCGACGTCCGAGGCTCGGGAGAAGGAGAGCGGGAGGAGGAGGAGGAGGAGGAGGAGGAGGAGAAGGAGGAGGAGGAGGAGGAGGGGGGAGGAACGAGGAGAAAGAGGAGGAAGAGGAGCAATGATACTCAAATTGCCTCGGGACAAAGGGGCCGAACGTGGCCGTGGCGACGACAGCCTCCCAGGAGGCGCAAAAAGGCGAAAACAACGGCAGGGTAGTCCTCCGATGATGACAGATTAACGCGCGCTCAAACCTACGAGGAGGAGGAGTGGGGCAGGGCAAAGCGATGATGGCGCTAGATTTATGGGTGCGAGTTGTCCGACCCCGAGGGGGGCTCCTGTTCGAGCGGGGACCCCATCCGACAACACACACCCAGAGCCCCCACCGGAATACCATCCCGAGACATCTGGGAGTCGCACAAGTATGGATACCAATTGTCACCTCACGATCCGAAAAACTTGGGAGACCAAGAGGTACCGATACCGCTACTCCCTGGACCTCTCTCGGGGTGCGCTCTGACCAGACCTTCGAGGCGAATCCAGCGGTGGCAACAAGGGCCTTCCAGGAGGCCCAACAGAGGGAAACTAGGGAAGGGTAGCGGTACAGGTACCATTTCTCCTCCGAGCTTATCCCCTTGCCAATGTTAGGTCGGGCATGTCCTCCTACAAGCGGGTTTTGGACGAAGAAATAAAACTAGTCGGAAGACATTCAAACATGGCTATACCAAACATAATCGGAAAGTCGGCTCCCCGTACTATCTGTTTGACAATGTTTGGACATTCCTCCGGTACAGGGACATGCCCGACTTCATGCCAGTGCCCGAAGGCTGCCCCCGGAGGCCGCGAGAACTGCAGAGGACTTCGCCCCGACCTTGCTCCGGAATGGCGGAAGCCCGACACACTGACACACCGTTCCGCCGGGCGCCCGAGGCAGAGGCTGGCGCGAGGGGAGGGGGGGTGGAGGAGAGGCTCGGGCGGCGAAAGCGAAGCCGCAGGAAGGGGGAGGGAGGGAAGGGAGGGAGGGAGGAGGGAGGAGGGAGGGATGGAGGAGGAGGAGGGAGGGAGGGAGGAGGGAGGAGTGAGTGAGGGAGGGAGGGAGGAGGGAGGAGAGAGGAAGAGGAGAAGGATAGAGGGAGGAGAAGGAGGCAAGAGGACGGAGGAGGGAATCGTCTGCACCACGGTGAGCAACTTTTATGGGCTCCGCCCTCGAGCTGGAGCGCCCGCCAGTCTGAGACAACGGACACAGATTTGGACCCAACCTCCTCCTCACACTCCCCTTCCTCCATGAACCGCAGCCCTCTTGGCGAGCGGTGGGAAGATCATGGTGTAATGGAGTACTGATTGCAGCTGACATCCGAGATGGCACAAGTCTCTTCCGAAGGCAACATCTGCTGCAGACATGAAGACGATTTGCAACTCGACAGACACAAGGGCACCCTTCACTCGTCAAGGCGACCTATTCGAATAGGCATGAAAGGACCCCTATCCCTTTGGGAGGCGACCTAAGTTAGGAGGACCAAGAAGATTTGGGACAAGGGAATGCGAAGACGGATACCTCAAGGAGACCACGTCTTCATCGTGTTATTAGGGTTAGGGGTTCTTCCGTTCGCGATGACTTTTGATTCGTCGTACCCGATCGTCGGCTGGGACTGGTGGTCGATGGTGGGGATGAGCAGCAGGGAGATTAGCTGGAGAAGCACGAGCAGCGGAATGAGCATGGGGAGGGGAAGCGGCCCAGGGAGGAGAAGAGAGGAAGAAATGCAACGATGCCCAGTAAGAGGGAGGCGAGGAGGGAGGGATTATTAACAAAAAAGGATCCCAGACCCTCTGGGAGAGGACCTAAGTCATAAAGGCCAAACAACACGAGGCATAGGGATTTGTTTTGCAGACGTATTGAACCAAACCGCCCAGAATTATAATCCCCAATGCGAAGACGGGGACCTCAGTGCGGCCACGTCTTCATCGTGTTCTCAGGGATACGGGTTATTTCGTTCTCGATGAGGAGAGGAGCAAGGAAGGAGGAGCACCGGGAGCGGGCTGAGGAAACAGACGGGAAAAACGAGGTCGCGGGGCCCGCTCATCGAATGCCGTGCCTCCCGCCCATGCCCACGCTAGCCACAGACCCAGACCCCCGACGCCATCATTTGTTCACAACGCGGACCTCCAAAGGTCCAGAATCCTTCCCGGGAACTTGCTCTTCATCTTGAGATGTCCCCTGACGGTCCCAGGATCCCAACAATGAATGATGCAAAACAAAACTGCCGACGTGTATTTCCCTCTTTTCTATCATAGCGCGAGTGGTCTGAGGCAGCGTCCCGTGCCGCGACCAGACAGCAGCGTACGGACTTCTTCTTCTCCTCCTCCTCCTCCTCCTCCTCCTCCTGCTCCTCCTCCGCCTCCGCCTCCTCCGCCGACTGTCGCGCTGAGCGTCTTCGCTCCTCCACGCTTCTGTGAGAGCTGACGCTGCCGCTTCGGACGAGCCCCCCCCCGGGACGGCGCCAGATCGTCGCCCACACCTGCCGAGCCCTCCTCGGGGGCCACGGCTCCCGCCGTGAAGGTGGGGTGTGACGATGGCCGAAGGGGCGGGGAGGGCCTCGCCACCGCTCGGACGTCCATTCCCTGTGTTTTTTTCGGTTTCGTGCGTGGTTTTTTCGCAAAAAAAGATCAAGGATGCTCTTCGATGGTCCTCGCCGAAGGAAAACTGCACACGTCTGAGCGATGCCAAGGGGCTGGCTGCTGGCTCAGAGGGGGGCAGCACCGCCTCGGAATCGGCGACGCCTCGCCGAAAGATCGGCGACGGGCCCTCGATGGCGGCACCGCTCGCCCCTGGGAGGAACGAGACGCCCAGGCGATCGATTCGCGATGCACGGGCGATTGGGAGGTTGACGTTCCCAGCCCTGATCCTGCCCCTCCTGTCGTTGCCCCGGATCCCTTCAGGCGGACGACTCTGCAGCTTCGAGTCTCCAGTAGGCCTGGCTCTCTCGGCCGCTTCCTTGGAACATGCCTGAGGAAACCATGAGGTACCCAAATCGCTACTCCCCGGACCTCTCCCTGGGTGCGTTCTGAGATGGATTTCGAGGCGAATCCACCGGTGGCAACGAGGGTCTCCCAGGAGGCCGAAAAAGAGGGAAACGAGGGAATGGTAGAGGTATGGGTAGCTTTGCCTCCTGTGAATGTGTTCGACCTGGGGTGGCTTTTGCTGACGGCCCAGAGTCCCCAAAACGGCGTCCATGGGCTGAACAACAGGCAGAACAATCGGACTGGACCTCTGGTCCTCACTTGTGCTTCAAAACTGGTCCCATGACCTCTCCAGGGAGCGGTGTTGGCCAGAATCTCGAAGCGGACGCAGCCGTGGCGACGATAGATTTCCCCAACAAAAATCAGCAAACGCGAAAAATACATTGATCCCTGACGCTCCTCCTTCTCCTCATCCGCCTCCTTCTCCTCTTACTAATCACCGGATGCTCTCTCTCAATGCCCTCGTGCATCTCATCCTGCCGTCTCCCATCGTGGTCCTGCCCGCTTCTATCTGGGATCTGGCTCGCTAGTGGTACACAGGTGCTTAAGTCTCTATAGGGGCCTCGTTGCAGCCCTGCGTGGGCCGAATGTTGAGGCTACCGCTTCGTTTCGGCGCATCCAAAGCCACAGCCCCTTTCGTGGGATGGAGATCGCACTGTGCTTCTCACCTGCGACGAGGCTGGAAACATTCACCAATACTCCCCCTCCTCCTCCTCCTCCACCTTGTCCTCATCCTTCTCCCCCTCCTCCTCCTTCTCCTCCTCCTCCTCCTTATCCTCTCCTCCTCCTCCCCTCCCACGCCTCCTGCTCAATATCCTTCTCCTCCTCCTCCTCCTCCTCCTCTTCCTTCTCCTCCCCCTCCTCCTCCTCGTCGCCTCCTCCTCCTCCTCCTCCTTCTCCTCATCCCGCCTCCTTCTCTCCTCCTCCTCCCCTCCTCCTCCTCTTCTTCCTCCTTCTTCTCCTCCTCCTCCTCCTCTTCCTCCTCCTCCTCCTCCTCCTCATCCCTCCAACTCCTCCCCCTTCTCCTACTCCTCCTCTCCTCCTCCTCCTCCCCCTCCCGCTCCTCCTCCTTCTTCTCCTCCTTCACCTCCTCATCCCTCCTACTCCTCCTTCTTCTCATCCTCCTCCACCTCCTCCTCCTCCTCCTACTCCTCCTTCTCCTCCTCCTCATCCTTCTCGTCCTCCTCTTTTTCCCCAGCCCCGCGACGATGACGACGAACAACGACGACGCCGCCGCCGCCGCCGACGACGACGACGGACGACGAATGCGACGACGACGACGACGACGACGACGACGAAAAGGACGACGACGACGACGACCGGCGACGGGCGACGACGATCAACGACGACGACGACGACGACGACCTGCCCCTGCGACCTGCCCCACCGCAGGGCCAACACCTGCCCCCCACCCCTGCCCGACGGGGTTCCTGTTGGCCGTCGCGGTGCAGCACCCGTAGGAGCTGGGCGGGGGACGCAGCGGGCGCGCGCGCGCCAACGCAGGCCTCGACGCCGGCGTCGCCGTCGCTGTCGCCGTAGTCGTCGTCATCGTCGTCGTCGTCGGCGTCGTCGTCCGAGTTGACGACGGCGTCCGAGTCGGCGTCGGCGTCGGCATCGGCGTCGTCGTCGGCGGCGTCGTCGGCGACGTCGGCGTCGTCGCCTTCGTAGTCGTCGTCAACGTCGCCTTACGTCGTCGCCACCGCCGTTGCCGTCAGCGTCAACATCGTCGCCGCTGCCGACGTCGTTGACAACGTCGTCTCCGCCGCCAACCGTCGTCTTAACGATATTCACTCTTGGATCATTGTGGGAAATACTAGAAACGATCGACACCCAGAAGCGACTGCAGACCCGCACCACCCCCTCCCCTCTCTCCCCCGCCCCCCACCGCACTACAGATTCCTCGCTCCTCCTCCTCATCCTCCTCTCGGGAAGCATGGGGTGCATGGCCGGGCAGGCCCAACGCGACCAACTCGCCACATTGACTTCTGGGGCAACGGCAAAATAGAAAGCAGGCCTCCCTCTCCGTGCTCTTTCCACGCTTCCGCCTCCATCCTCCTCCCCCCTGCTCCTGCTTCTCCTCTTTCTTCTCCTTTCCCCATCCTTCTGGGGGGACATGAACTACCGACACCGCTACGGCCAAGACCTTTCCGAGGGTGCCTCCTGGCAAGGATGTATTTCGAGTCGGATCCAGACGTTGTGACGCCCACCCCCCCAAGGCCGAGAGGCCCACAGGGCGAGAACGGGCGAGGGGCATCCGTATCGGCAGGCGTCTCTCCTCTGACCAACTCCGCCCATGTCCTCCTCTTCCTCCTCCTCCTCCTACCCCTCCTCTTCTCTCCTTCCTCGGACAGGCGGTGGAAACCATGAGAGAGCCTGAGCAAACTGGGCCTCCTGGTCTCCAGCTCCTCATCCTCCTCCTGCCGCTCATCCCACTCCTCCTTCTCCTCCTCTTGCTACTCTTCTCCCTCCCTTCTCCTCCTTCTCCTGCTGCTGCTGCTGCTTCTCCTCCTCCGCTTTTCTTATCCTCCCGTCTTCCGCACCTCCTCCTCCCTCCTCCCTCTTCCCTACTTCGAAATCATTGTTCCTCTTCCTGCTCCTCCTCCTCCTCCTCCTCCCCCTCCGTCCTCCTGCTCCCAGCTAGCTCACTCACGGCCTACCGATAGCAGGGTCTCGGTGCCGATGATCATGGCGGGTGATGGGGAAGGGTGGAGGCGGGCAGACAGAGCAGCGACACGGGAGAGGATGATGACGACGACCAATGGTCGACGTTGACGCTACGACCCTTGTCTATCAACGTCGGGATAACTAAAACAACCAGGCCGAACTCACTCTCCGAACAAGGGACGCAGAATAGCATACCGGGCACTACCTGTTCGTTTGTATGTGTGTGCGTGCGTGCGTGCGTCTGTGTGTGTGCGTGCGCCTTTGTGAGGGGAAGGGGTTACGCATGCTCGAATTTTGCATATAGGACAAACAACATATAACGGCATGACCAAACGGCGCCCGCCACCGAGGCTCATACTGGAGGCCTCCCATATGGGGTCCGATTAGATGGGGTCGGAGGACCGCGCCGCATCGCCGATGCATCGACGCCGTCGGCATGGAGAACGTTGGGTTCCCCATCGAGCCGTATCGGAAAAGCTTTGGCGGTGCGGCGCGATCCTCCGACCCCATCTGCTCGGACAACAATTGTCGGGCACACGTGGAACTCGGGTTCGGGGGACTCGGGCTGGCCTGACGGGGCAATGATGAAAAGAACGAAAACCAATCTGAAATGTGACGCGAACTCCCGCTGCAAACATCCCACGAGAAAAGGACCGTCAACATCCGGGGCGGGCCCGGCCAACGGCGTCGGCAAAGCCGAGGTCAGGCTTCTACGGAGAAGGCCCGCGCCTTCTCGGAAGGAGGCGTGCTTCTGTGAAGCCTTCCCTCCTCCCCCCAGGGCCCCCTCTGCGCACGGTCGAATCATCTAAGAAGCAAGGTACCTCAGAGAAGTCGTCCCCCCTTCCCCCGCTCCTCTCTGCGCGCCGCCAGGGTAGGTCGGCGGCGAGAGAGGGGAGAAACAAGAAGGAGTGGGCCTTCTCAGACGGCGGCGGGACTCCTCAGAAACCCTGGTGCCTCCTGAGAAGTGTTGTTCAATGTCTTCGGGGAAGGCTTAGAAAGCGCTTCTGAGTCTCAATTACTCGAAAAAGGCAAGACGCCATAATCATTAACTTTTGGCGCTCCGCGCGGGTTTCTTAAATCCACGCTGGGCCCCCCCGGCAGCGCCTTCGGCGCCACCCCTGGCGCGCTCCGCGCGCCAGGGAGGGGTTCAGCGCAGATCCAAGAAATCAGCGCGGAGCGCCAACAGTTTATGCATGTGGCGCCTTTTCTTCTTCGATTCTCTGAATCTGAATCACGTGTCCCGGGGGCCAGATTATCGTCACGCGTCGTTTTTTGACGCCCCTGGGGCCCAGTGAGGGCCCCCCGGGGCAAAAATAATGAAAAACTTGCCGACTTAACTTTTTCACGACGGGTGCATGTCTAGGTGCGTTTCCCCGTCGTCTGGGCGGCCCAGGTCATACCGCAAGATCTCTGAGCGCCCGCGCGTCCCTGCCAGCGGGGGCCGACGCACGCACACACACAACCACACACACACACACACTCTCTCACACACACACGCACACGAACACGCAAACGCAAACACACACACACACACACACACCCACACACACCCACACACACACACAACACAAAAAAACACAACACACAAACGCATGCACACACCGCAAAGGCGATGTGCCGGCAAGCAGGCGGACCCTCCCCCCCTCTTCCCCTCCCCCCCCCCTCTGGAGCCCAAACGGAAGGGTCGGGCCAGGAGGCCGAGGCGGGGACCTGCCGTCGAGCTTGATCTGGAGAGGACGCGCGAGAGCCGGCGGCGCGCGCGAGAGGATAGGGTTAGGTCGGGCATGTCCTCCTACAGGCGGATGTTGGACGAAACAGAAACAGTTGTCCAAACATACCCAACACTAGCCAAACATACTAGAAACACCGTCCCCAGACCAATGGTTGACTATGCTTGAATATTCCTCCTGTAGAGAGACATGCCCGACTTCAAGGTAGGGGGAGGGGGGAAGGCGGGAAGGCTTCGATGCTGCTTCTGAGGAGGCGCCGTCCCTACAACTGCAGACATGGCCCGCGCCTTCTAAGGAGCAGGGGGACCTTCACGAAGCCTTCCCTCCTCCCCCCTGGCGCCCCCCTGCGCGAGGCTGGTTACCGTCGAGCTTGATTGGAGAGGGCACGCGAGAGGACAGAAGACCCTTCCGAGGGCCACGTTGCTCTAGAAATGCAGAAGGGGCCGCGAGAACCAAGGACGCGAGGGTACCGTTGACTTGGAAGGGACGACGTACCAATCAAACTCGACTGTTGCCACAACCACCGCCAGGGGGCTCAATCTTCGGGCACCTTTGCAGGCGGAGGAATGGTATGTATAGTCGGGGCTCCCAGAAGGACCAAGGTCCCCGCCTGCCGAGGTCCCCGAAGACCGACCCCGCATCCAACGGTTATTATGTGAGGGATCCCTACAATCCCCAACTCGGAAAAGAGCTGCAGGCCTGAGCCAAGACTGAACGCGGAATCACGACTGAACGCGGAAACGTAGGTGTCGACCTCGGTAATCTTCCAGCTCGGTCAACGTCAACTCGTGGATCACCCACGCGAATCGGCGACGGCCCGCATGGACCATGACCAAGACCAGCCTCGAAACGATACCGCGATATCTGGTTCATGGTAATCGTGCTCCTTCCCTCGAACATCGTCGGTTATGGATGAACTTCCGAATCGTAAGTTTGGACGCCCAATATGGGTACGGATCACATTGTTACAATGCCCATCAACAAATGTTGGCCAACATCGACAGCAGCCGTTGTTAGACAGTGGGTCCCCTGTCTCCAATTGACAACGTCCGCGGCCACACCGAGAGCGAGTCCGGTTCAAAATGGGCAGGGACTGCAATCGGTCTTTATACACATTTGACAGCCTACCAATCGGCCTCAACCCAACCCGAAGTCACCGTTTCGGGCTCATCACTGTCCAGTGGGGGGTACTCCAGAAGGTTTGGAAGAAACACGATGGAACCCATTAATCCCCAAACCAGAGATTGGGGGTGGCATCATAAAGGCCTCCTAGATGGGGGTCCGAGTGGATGGGCAATACATCGGCGATACATCAGTGATGCATCGGCGACGTCGGCGATGCATCGGCGCCATCGGCGTGGGCAGATTCGCGTTCCTTGTCGAGCCGCATCGCCGATGCACCGTCGATGCGGCGCGATCATTCGAACCCATTTACTCCGATACAATCTGGGAGGCCTGGCTCTAGGGCCTTCGGGTTGGGTGGGAGTGCCTTGGTAAGCGGTGACCATTCTGGGGACTTCGAAAAGGTACCGATACCCTTACTCCCCAGACCTCTCCCTGGGTGCATTCTGACCAGAATCTCGAAACGAATCTAGTGGTCTAGTCTATCTGACGGTCTCAAGAATGGTATTAGGCGTTCCTGGAGTCAATTGCATGAGAAACTTGGTAAAGCAGCTCAATCTAACCGTTGGAGGCATGCTCGTGGGCCTATTACTGCTGTCTGCGCCACTGTTTTAGATCTCGGGCTGGAACCACGAGAAGATGATCTTTGGATCGTTGAAGCCAGAGCACCTCACATAATGAATGAACCTGCTTTCCGATACAACTTCCAATCATGTGTACGCGAGAGGTGCTCTGCCGCAGTTTGGGCCAATGCGTCCCAGCACTTCTGCGGGCGAGGCCTCGACAGTGAAGCTGATTTTACAGTATTTCGACCGAAGCACAAGAAGCTGCTTCAAGATGAAGATTATGCTGGCGCAGCGCTTCTAGCCACCATCGTGGTCGGGGACTGACTGAAGCTGGGCAAGCAGACCCTCACAGTGCCTTCTACACACGTGGGCTCCCGCGAGTATGGATGCTAGTTGTTGCATGTTCTTCCTCCTCGTGAGCTGGTGTGGTCTTGGGTCCTTCATAGTGCTTCCCCTAAAGCTCATGGTGGAAAATGGGGTCTTGATGGTTGGGGAGGGCCCCATGCTGTTGATAAAAGGCTACGTGGAAGTGGATTGGTTATGGTTCGTCTTGGGATGGCTGAGTCCCTTGATCTGCGCTTGAATAATGTATTGTGTGGTACTCTTCCTACCCGTGAGCAGTCTAGCCCCCCCGCTGAATTGTACGCCTTTTCGATGTTGGTTTCTCATACTACTGGTGATGCCACTTGCTATTCTGATTATCTACCACTGGTGAAGTCTTACCGTCAGCCGCGAGCTCAGGTTAGCTACTAGCAATGTGACTGATATTTAGGTTCGGATCTGGGCTGCTCTCGATGATCGGGGTCCTGGTCGGATCGACATCCTGTGGACTAAGAGCCATGCGACGGCCCAGCAGCGTGCGCAGCACGCGATCGATTGTGATGAGCATTTCTTGAATTGGTGCGTCGATTATTTTGCTGGGTGGGTTGCCCGCGAAGGCGGGGCCGCCTCTGAGCAGGTTGATGTGACCTACTCTGTCGATCGCGCTGCGTCCGCGGTCCTTGACCAACTCCTGGCCGTCCATATAGGGGGGGGGTTGTCCAGGCCAGCCCCCGACGTGCTGCTGATCGAACAGGCCGCCCCGTGCCCCACCCGCCTGCCCTTCCCTCATACTGGCCATCGCTCGGACGTCCATTCCTTGTGTTTTTGTCGGTTTCGTGCGTGTTTTTTTCGCCAAATGATCAAGGATGCTCCTCGATGGTCCTCGCCGAAGGAAAAATGCACACGTCCGAGCGATGCCAAGTCATGCAGAGTGAGGATAGACAGGCGTCGTGCGGCAGGGCATGACCCGGCCAGGTGTGCATCGTGCATCAAGTGTTGCATGTGTGGTGTTAGGAGATTCCCCATGTCTGGGCGCGTCTCCGCTCTGTCTGCCCAGGCCCCTGCTCCGGGGCCTCGGTCCTCTCGTCCGACCCCCTGCTCCACCCCTTGTAGTACCCTGGATGTGCTGCAGGAAACACGCTCCGGGTCGTGCGCGGGGCACTCTTGTGCGAGAAGCGCGGCAGGCACGCAGCTGTGAAGGTGCGGGGCGCATCGAATCCATGTTTGCCCGAAGGGGTCCCTCCATCCGAGGCGGGGAAAATCGTCCATTCCAGGCTGTCGCGTGGCCTTCCCCCCAGAAGTGGCGGTTGTTTCCCCCAGGTGTGAGTTTCTGACATGCGCCCAAGCTTGACTTGGTCTCCGCATGCTTCTGAATCTGAATCTAACAGTGGATCTGTCGACCCCTATTCCAGGCTTTGGGAGGTCTTCCAACGGACCAGAAATTTTGGGCCCGACCCTTGGATAAACGATGGGGGGGCGTCAATCCTCGATAGGGGTGCGTTCGAAAAGCCCCCTGAGGTTGTATCCCAGTGTCTCCCTCCCCTTCTGAGCGGTTTCATTGTTCGCCGAAAAATCGGGAATCGGGGGCGAACAATCGCCTGCGATCTCCGTATCCATGCCGATCGTACCGATAGGACAAGAAAACACCATATCCATAAAGTTAATAGCGTCTTTCCTTATTCGAACCGAGGATTGCGGCGGCGGGCTCCTCCGACCCTATCTACGATGCATCGGCGACGTCGGTGACGCATCGGCGATGTCGGCATGGATAAAATTGGGCTCCGCATCGAGCCGCATCGGCGATGCGGCGCGCTCCGATCCCATCTGGTGAGGCCTAGATGATCCATCGGTCGGGAGAAGTAGGTAGGAACATGCAGTAGGAAGGCGGACACAGAGGATTGGGTTCGGGCCCACCCAGAGAGCAACACAACGCAGCAGCAGCACATCGGTTCTTGAAGTAGAAAATTGCGCTCAAAATAGATTGGGTTCTGGGAATCCAGAAATCGGCGGTGGACAAACCTCTCTTTAGTTAACCTAACCGCCCATTCTAAAGAAAGCGGCCTAGGACCGAAACCGGCGGACCTGGACCCGCAAAAATGACCGCCGCGACGCCCCCTCGCGAATCGAACACGGCCGATTCGATGAATCGACGTGTCAGGGCAGGAGGCCTATCGGCCTCCGAAAGGACAAAAAACGGCCTGCTGCCCACGACCGGTGGGCACCCGTGCCGAGGAATCGATGACTCGACGTGTCAGGGTAGGAGGCCTATCGACCTCCGAAAGCACAAAAAACGGCCTGCTGCCCACGACCGGTGGGCACCCGTGCCGATGAATCGATGACTCGACGTGTCAGGGCAGGATCGGGGAGACGCAAGACCCGGGTACGGGGGACTCGGGTTGGCCCGACGAGGTCGTCAAAAAAATGACGAGGCCGAGCCTGCATTTTGACGAGGCCTCCCGCTGCAGACATCCCACGCTCCTCCTCGTCAAAATCCGAGGCGCGGTCGTCAAAAAACGATGGCGAACCCGAGTCCTGGCAAACCCGGGTCTTACGCTTCCCCGACAGGAGGCCTCTCGACCTCCGAAAGCACGAAAAAAACGACCTGCTGCCCACGACCGGTGGGCACGACGGTGCCGATCGCACCAAAGGGAGGGGCGCGGCGGGCCTGAGCCAGCTCGCTCGCCTCGGCTCCAGCTCCTCCGCCCCGGCGTGGGGGCCCGCGAAGTGCCTGCGCACAGCGGGCGGCTCGCCCGGGGGGCGGGGGGGGGGGCGGCGGCGCGCGGTGCAGCTCCTCCCCGCCCTCCTCCGTCTCCTCCTCCTCCCTCCTCCTCCTCCTCCTCCTCCTCCTCCTCCTCCTCCTCCTCCTCCTCCTCCGCGGCCTCCTCCTCCTCCTCCTCCTCCTCCGCCTCCTCCTCCGCCTCCTCCTCCTCCAACGGTCCTCCTGCCGCTCCTCCTCCCTCCTCCCCTCCTCCCTCCTCCTCCCTCCTCCTCTCCTCCTCGCTCCTCGCTCCTCGCTCCTCCTCCTCCTCCTCCTCCTCGCCTCCTCCTCCTCCTCCTCCTCCTCCTCCTCCTCCTCTTCCTAATCCAACGTTGCCCCGCCTGGTTGTGGATATCCTTCGGTGGCGAGCACCGTGGGGAAGTGAGAAGGGGCGGGCCTTCTCGCAAGGCTCCGAAGTCCCCCAGCCTTCTGAGAAGATGCCTTCCCCGAAAACGCAAGAGACTTCTCAGAAGTCGCGAGGGCCTCTGAGAAGCCCCGCCGCCTTCTGAGAAGGCCTTCTCCTTCTCACTTCGCCCCCTCGCTCGCCGCCGATCCTCCTCCTCCAACGCTGCCCCGCCTGGTTATGGGTCTCTTCTGGCAGTCTCTCTTGGCAGTCCCCTCGACGTCGTCGTCGTCGCCAGTCCCGAAAAACGTAGAAAAAAACGTCGTTGTAGGTAAGTTGACTCCCTCCCCTCTCCACCCTCCCTCCCTGACGGGGGGGGGGACGGAAATTTGTAGGGGGGGGGCAAGATGGGGGGCAGGGGGGTGGTAGGGGAGGGGGAGGTCACGGGACCGATTGCCGCCCCCCGCGGGGTCCTCGCGCGCGGTTTCCGGAGGGGGCTCCCCCTGTGGATGGGGGGGGGCGAGGGGACCACCCCCTCCGAGGTGGTCGCGAGCAGGGTTCTCAGGGGATGGTCATGACGGTCAGAACGCTGCCCCTGTGGTCGGGGGTGGTGGTCATAGATCAGAACACTGCCCTCCCTGGGTCCCGGCGGGTCAGGGGGGGGGACGCCAGCGGGGGTCCGGGTGGCGGTCCCGCCTTCAGGGTCGGCGGCATAACCGGTTGTAAGACAACAGAAGTATAGGTCGAGGGATCTACGAACTCCCCTTCAGAGCGCTCAGAAATTCCATTGCGGCATACCCTGGGGGTTGTACGCTTCTGGGGGTAGCCGCGTCACGTTCCAAGATGGTGCAACCGCGAATGTTGCTGGAAGGGCCCCTGGCACACGGCGCTTCCGGGATGTCCAAGGAGGCCCCCACGGCCTCCAGAGCACCCCTCCTCCTCCTCCTCCTCCTCCTCCTCCTCCTCCTGCTCCTCCTCCTGCTCCTCCTCCTCCTCCTCCTCCTCCTGCTCCTCCTCCTCCTCCTCCTCCTCCCTCCCCCTCCTCCTCCCTCTCTCCCTCTCCCTCCCTCCCTCCCTCCCTCCCGCCCGTCACGAGGCCAAGAGGGCCCCAGGGGCTCCAACATGGAGCGAAAATCTTGGGGCGCCTGGGGCCAGGGGCAGTTCTAGCAACATCGGACAACACACTCGACACAAAGACTCCTTGCAGTTCCATGCTTCGGGCCCCAGAGGATGTTACCACGGACTGGAATCGCGAGCCTTCCCCCCCAAGAGAAAACCCAAGACCCCCGAACTGCCCCGACGAGCCCGGCAGAGGCTCACGAGACGTCGTCGAGAGGCCCCAACGAGACCCCCAGAAAGGCCTATGAGGAGCCCCCGAGGGGACCCGACGAGGCGTCTTCGATGCCCAAAGAGAGGCCTCCGAGAGGCTCCCGAGAGACGTCGCGTCCGAGGGGCATCCAGGACGACCCAACGGCACTGCCTCCGCCGCCACCCCGTGCCTGCCACAGGGATGCATGGCATTTCAAGCTTTGTAGTACCCCTGCCCTTCCAAAGAATCAAGAACAGTCGGCTTCGGGCATTGCCAAGTTGGCAAAACAGATTGCCTCCAAGACGTGCCAAGATTGCCTCTGACAAATTCCAGGACCCGATCGTCACGTTCGCCGACGGAGGTTGAGAGACGGACTCGGGACGACCCCAAAAAAACCCACGACGCCTCAAGACGGGACTCAGAGGACCATCGCCGAGACAAAACCATTGATATCCGCCGGCCCCCTTGCGGGGCCATCAGGCTGCGAGGCTTAAGGTTGCTGTTCCCTGCGCCAGTTCCAGTTTCCAGTTTCCATTGTTACAATACTGTTTTCTGCTTCCTCCTGTAAATTGCTACCGTCCGCGCGAGGGGGGGGGAGCCGAAAACTGCCCTGGTCAGCGTCCCCCGGGGGGGTTCTCAGAATTGCAGGGTGGCGTGGGACACGTAAAAATACTGGTGTTGCGTGCCCCCGAAGCCAAAACCCATCGCAAATTACACCGCTGTCGCGCCCCCGAGGCCACGATCCCTAGTGAATTACGCCGCATCCGCGTCTCCGGGGGCCACGATCCCTCGTAATTTACACCGCACTCGCGTCCCCGAGGCCACGATCCCTTGTAAATTACTTCGCGTTCGCGCCCTCGAGGCCACGATTCCTTATAAATTACACGACATTCGCGCCCCCGAAGCCACGATCCCATGTATTTTACATCATTCTCGCGCCCCCGAGGCAACGATCCCTTGTAAATTACGCAGCGGGCACGCCCCCGAGGCCACGAATCCGCCTTGCGGAAACTGCCGGAAAGGCGCCCCCCTTCTCCAAAGCAGAACAACAACAATTTTCAGTATTGGGATGTGTGCTCCGTTGGTATGTTTTTGCCTCCCCCCTATTTCTGGAAAGTTCGGCGGCGGGTTCCACATCCCTCATAAGGTACACCACACTTGCGCCCCCGAGGCCACGATCCCGCGTGAATTACGCCACACTCGCGCCACCGAGGCAACGATCCCTTGTAAATTACGCCGCTGTCGCGCCCCCCAGGCCACGACCCCTCGTACATTACGCCGCATTCGCGTCCCCGAGGCGATCCCCCGCAAATCACACCAAATTCGCGCGCGCACCCCCCACGCTACGAATCCGTCTCGCGGAAGCTGCCCAAAGGCGCCACTCTTTCTCCAGAGCAGAAACAAATAACCTTCCCAGAGACTGCCTGAAGAATCCCCAGCCGTTCCCAAAGCGCTTCCAGTGAACAGCTGGAGGGAAATGCCAAAAAGGCAACAGAGCGTCCAACAACAATCTCAACATGTCAATATGTTTTCCTCATCGCCAGCCGCCGGCTTGTGGATGTTGTTGTTGGTATTGGTGCTGTTGAACTCGCACTTCTGGAGAATAATTGTTGTTGATCCCCCCCGTCCGGTGCACATTGTATTTTTCCTGATTGAAGTGCCATTCCCGGGGCTCGCACCCTGTGTTTTATCGAAGAAATTCATGAGGGTCAAACTGTGTCGTTGGCCCCCGGTTTACAACAACAACAACAACAACAACAACAACAACAATCACTTTACCCGAACGCTCAGTGTTCTCACCAGTGCCAGGGTTTTCATGCGACGCCAGCCAATACCCCCACTTTGTGGGGGGGCAGTGCAAGCTCTACCAAATATCCACACGACTCTTCGCCACCACCCACACCCAGCTTCCCGCCCTATGACGTTCGGACACTTCACTTCGTGGCCTGCGGACGACCGTGGCTACTACACTGGCGTGGAGTACACACCCACAGAAGTTGTTAGGACAGCGCGCGCGGGTAGAAATTTTGAAAAGTCGTGCAGGTGTTTTTCGAGGACCTACGGTGCGATTCGTGTGATTTTATGATGCGCGGTGCTAAAATTCTTAAGAAGCCCAATGGTTTTTGGAGATTTCGGCGTGCGCGCGCGAAGAAAAAACGAATGTGTCCCGCATGGTATTATTTGACAGGGATGATGGCCCTGGCAGGTGCGCAACCGTTGTCGCAGAAGTTCGAAAAAGTTGCTCGCAAAAGCCCGTTTGACAGAAATGTTTAAAAAGTGTTGGGTTTCCTACGAATCCGCAAGAGCGCGCGGGATGAGATTTTGACAGTTTTTTTGTTGAAAAACCATTGGTTTTTTGATGTTTTTATGTTAAAATCGCTGCGAACACTAAGCTTTTGGAAGGATTTCGTCTTGCGCGCGCGAATGTCCACTTTACCTTATTTTTTGCAAGGGATTCTTGAAATTTGATTATATTAGAACAAGAAATGTCATTTTATAGTGTTTTTTGCAAGGGAAAACGGGGGGGAACAAAACAACCGGATCTTGATCACATCGAATTACCTGAGGCTTCCTCACGAAAATGATGAAAATGTAGCTGCGGCCTAGGCGGCGCAGGGGGGCCGTGCACCAGGGGCCCAACAATAATTATTCTTTAGAATTAATAATGTTCAACAACAACAATTACTAGCACGTGGGGACACTCCGTTCTCACCAGTGCCAGGGTTTTCATAGGAGGCGGGCAATACCCCCACTTTGTGGGGGGGCCGGTTCAAGCTCTACCAAATTTCCAAACGACTCTTCGCCACCACCCACACCCAGCTTCCCGCCCTATGACGTTCGGACACTTCACTTCGTGGCATGCGGACGACCGTGGCTACTATTCAGGGCCCCGCGGCCGACGACGACGGCGTGCGCGCGCGAAGAAAAAACGAATGTGTCCCGCATGGTATTATTTGACAGGGATGATGGCCCTGGCAGGTGCGCAACCGTTGTTGCAGAAGTTCGAAAAAGTTGCTCGCAAAAGCCCGTTTGACAGAAATGTTTAAAAAGTGTTGGGTTTCCTACGAATCCGCAAGAGCGCGCGGGATGAAATTTTGACATTTTTTTTTGAAAAACCATTGGTTTTTTATGTTTTTATGTTAAAATCGCTACGAAAACTAAGGTTTTGGAAGGATTTCGTCTTGCGCGCGCGAATGTCCACTTTACCTTATTTTTTGCAAGGGATTCTTGAAGTTTGGATATGTTAGAACAAGAAATGTCCACTTTAGCTTATTTTTTGCAAGGGAAAGCGGGCGTCAACAAAACAACCGGATCTGG